TCTGACTAGCACACCTCCTCAGAAGAAGGACAGAGTGTGACCCCCGGAGCCAATATAATTACAGCAGCCTCTGCAGTGAACTCGTGTCTGGATTCTGCACAGATGGAGGGAATCTCTGCTTCCTGCTGCTCCTTCCCTCCTGGGGCCATCACTAAGTATCAAGGGTGCAACCCCAGGCAGAAGGAGAAGACACACTGTCTGCCTGCAGAGAGGCCCACATTGTCTCGAGAGAATGGATTTTCTCTGCTCATGCCTGAGTTGTTCCAGCTTGGGGGCAGCTACAGAGGGGGACTGTGGGCAGCAGTGTCGTCTTAGGGCTTGTCCCTGAGGCTGATGCACACATCCTGTCATATACTGTATGGCCCAAATGACCTCCAGTACCTCCCATGGGAAAGGTCTGCACACCAGAGACTTTCCAGCCTCCGCAGAACCTGGGGAGCAGAGGTGAGCTCTGACTGTCCGAGCTCTGACTGTCCAACAGGACATGGCTCCCACCAGTGGCACCTTCTGCACACCTGGTTCTGGGCATAGGGCATCTTGTCCACACTCTCCCTGATCGTGTGCACAGTCTTATCAATCATCCTTTTACAAATGACAGCAGGTTAACATCATAGGTCAAAGTCTGGAGGAGAGGGAGTCATAAGCATCTTCTGGAAGGGGAAGTGAGTGGACACCTNGGCCCTGTATGTGCAGTAGACCCTCTTCCCAGCTCCAAAGCTGGATAAGAGCAAAGAGGTCCCAATTCATGCTCTTCTAGGATGGCAGAGAGAAGGACCTGCAGGGTTGAGACCCAGACCTGGGCCCCGTGTTGAGCCTCCTCCTGGGCTCTCCCTGCATGTCCTTGACACATGACTGTTCAGGTCCCTCAGGAAAGGACAGGAAGGTCTTTGTCCATTTAGATCCACCACATTCACATAGGTTCTCCTTCATCAATTTTTCAGATAAAGAAACTGAGGCTCTGAACAATGAGATACCCATGGTCTGTCAGATAGTAAGTGGCATGCCTGAGATACGAGCTCAGGTCTGTCTGAAGGTAGAGCCTTAGTCCCTAACCACTGACTTGTTTTGTTTCCTTAACATAATAGCTCTAGAATATCCATGTCTGCCAAGACTGAGCAATCAGAGTCACTGAGATTGGATGAGGAATCGGTCCTTTGACCCAGGCTAAGATAATTCAACTGAATCATAGGACATTAATGAGAACTCTGGGGGAAAGGTGAGCTTTCCTATGGGAACTGAGCTTTCAGAGGTCGTCATTGGATACCATGAGGAAAGGGCTTCCTTGGAGGAAAAACAATACAGAGGAAAGTCAAAAGGGGAGAAGGATATAGTTTCCTAATGACATTGTTGGAGACCTGGATCCAACTGTACCTGAAGGTCACAATCAATATATGTCTTTGGTTTGCTTAGACCACATGTGATTGAGCTTCTACCTCTTACAACTGAAGGGGACCTCAGCAGCCAGAGAGAGCTAGGGACCTGCCCAGCAGGTCAGTTTGGTGTAAAAGCCATGCTCTCTGTGGGACATTGTTCCTTCCCCTGGCTTTTCCAAGGATGGGAAATGGAAGAGGTGAGAGTAAGGGCACAAGGCTGGGTTGTGGTCTTCTATTGAAGATTCTGGGGCCTGGAGCATGTGGGCAATGAACATACAGTGGACAAGCTAAAGAATGGGGTTAAAGGAACTGACCCACTAGAGGTGGACATCGTGGAACTAGCAGCCCAGATCACCCACCAGCTCCAAGCCCTCCTCATTGCTCAGGGTCTGGGAATGGACGAGGCTGACACCAGGCATGGAGGGGGACCTCAAATGCNTTGTGACAAGCCCTGCAATGACACAACATGCTCTGACATGAACCCAAGATGGCGAGCCATGACCTCAACCTGCCCACAGATGAGCTTCACATGAGATTAAAATATGAACCCTTCAAGGTTTCAGATGTGGTTCAGGTGTGATTTAGACTGGGCCTTAGATGTGACCAAAACATACCTTAAGACCTGCCTCAGAAAGACTCAAGTAATGTCCCAGACAACTCACAAAGGAATTCTGAGTCTCAGATCTCAGACGAGCCCAAACACGGCCCAGAGGAGAAAAGGTGCAGAACTAGCCAAGCTCAAACAGCACCTCAGACGAGAAGCAGATAGACCCTGACAAGCCCCAAATGCCCTTGGCCTCAGCATGCCCCACACTTGACCATCTCCATGTGATCCCAGGAGTAACCCAGGTGTAACCAGGTGTAACATGCGGCAGGTGTAATGAAGACACAGGTGTAGATACAAATGTGACAAGATGTGGCCACACAGCAGGTGTCACATGGACACATTCAGACATTGGTAGAGATGAGCAGAGGTCAGACAGGTGGGAGACCAGGTGAGGCAGAGGCTGTGACATCTCCACCACAGCCCCCACATCAGCACTCGGGTCACCCGACCAGCTGCACGCAGCCCAGAGACTTCAGGTGTGGGCATCCTGTGGCAGTGCAGTGTCTACCTGGAGCAAAGAGCATGGGCTTGATGTAGGTGGGGTGGGAGATACAGACGACCACATGCCAGGGCCCCACCCACAACCAGTGCACGCTCCAAAGGGCTTACCAGGCCCTGTGTGTACAGGAGACCCCCCGCCCAGCTCCAAATCTGGAGAAGAGCAAAGAGGACCTAATTCATGCTCTCCTAGGACAGTAGAGAGAAGGACCTGCAGGGCTGAGACCCAGACCCAGGCCCTGTGTTGAGTCTCCTCCTGGGCTCCCTCCCTACATCCTTGATCCATGACTGTTCAGGTCCTTCAGGAAAGGATAGGAAGGCCTTTGTCCATGTAGATCCACCATGTTCACCTGGGTTCTCCTTCGTCGATTTTTCAGATAAAGAAACTGAGGCTCTGAGCAATGAGAAACCCATGGTCTGTCAGATAGTAAGTGGCGTGCCTGAGATACGAGTTCAGGTCTGTCTGAAGGTAGAGCCTTAGTCCCTAACCATTGACTTGTTTTGTTTCCTTAATACAATAGCTCTGGGATACCCATGTCCGCTAAGACTGAACAATCAGAGTCACTGAGATTAGATGAGGAATCGGTCCTTTGACCCAGGCTAAGATAATTCAACTGAATCATAGGTCATTAATGAGAACTCTGGGGGAAAGGTGAGCTTTCCTATGGGAACTGAGCTTTTGGAACTCATCGTTGGCACCATGAGGAAAGGGCTTCCTTGGAGGAAAAACAACACAGAGAAAAGTCAAAAGGGGAGAAGGATACAGGTTCCTAATGACATTCTTTCAGACCTGGATCCAGCTGTGCCTGGAGGCCACAATCAATATATGTCTTTGGTTTGCTTAGACCTCATGTGATTGATCTTCTACCTCTTACAACTGAAGGGGACCTCAGCAGCCAGAGAGAGCTAGGGACCTGCCCAGAGTCATCCATCAGTTTGGTGTAAAAGCCATGATCTCTTTGGGACATTGTTCCTTCCCCTGGCTTGTCCAAGGATGGGAAGTGGAAGAGGTGAGAGTAAGGGCACGAGGCTGGGTTGTGGTCTTCTATTGAAGATTCTGGGGCCTGGAGCATGTGGGCAATGAACATACAGTGGACAAGCTAAAGAATGGGGTTAAAGGAACTGACCCACTAGAGGTGGACATCGTGGAACTAGCAGCCCAGATCACCCACCAGCTCCAAGCCCTCCTCATTGCTCAGGGTCTGGGAATGGACGAGGCTGACACCAGGCATGGAGGGGGACCTCAAATGCTTCCAATGCCCCTGCATCCCCTTCCCACTGCTTTGAAAATTTCTACTTATGCTTCCAACCCAGCTCCCACAACCCCTCCTCCAGTAAGCCTTCCAGCCTGCCCCATCAGGAAACTTGTTTCTGCTCTTAGCTGTTGTGGTCCATCTTGATCTGACCCATTTCTGGCCACATGACATTGGGGATGTCTGTCCAGTTTCATATCCTCAATATCAGGATTTCTCCTGTACAGGTTCTTGGGTGGAGGTGTTTGGGTACCTCAGTGGTGCCCAGAACACCAGGGCAGGGAGACAGAGGGAGATACAGGGATAAGACACTGAGATGGGGACTGGTGAATACATGCAAGAAAGAGGAAGATGGCTGAGAGAGGAGAGGGAAGGAGAGACCAGGGTCCTGCAGGGACTGCACAGAATCTTGGGGGTGGAAGCCATCGGGTGAGCCATGGCACCCACCACCACAAGCTCCAGTGGGTACCTGAGGCACTGATGACAGACCGGATGATGTCAGGGTGGCATAAACTGACGATGGGGAATATGGGGCCCATCCAGCTCAGAAACCCCTGAGGGTACGTGGACACCAGCTGAGTCAATTCCCTCATGCCCTGAGTCAAGTCTCTCATGCCCTGCTCTGTAGGTTGGACCTGCAAGCAAGACAAGATGGTCACCTCCTGTGATGGTTCATTGAAGGTGACAACTTGACTGAGCTATGGGATGCACAGGTGACTGTGAAACCTTATTTCTGTCTGTGTCTGTGGTGGTGTTTGCAGCAGAGGGCAGCATTTGAATCCATAGACTGGGTAAGGAAGATCCACCCTGCCCAGTGGAGTTGGGCATCATCCAATTCCTTGAGGACCCAGGTAGAAAATAAAGCCAGAGAAAGGGAGAATTTTCTCTCTCTTCTGGAGCTGGGACATCCATCTCCTACTACTCTCAGACATCAGAACTCCAGGTTCTGGAGCATCTGGACTCCAGGACTTATATCAGCAGCCCCAGGTTCTCAGTCTTTTCGACTCACAATGAGACACATCACCGGCTTCTCTGGTTGTCAGCATGGCGTGGGACTTCTCAGCCTCCATAATCATGTGAACCAATTGTCATAAAAAATCCCCTCTTCTCTCTCTCTCTGTACACATGCATGTGCGCGCGCGCGGTCAGACACACACACACACACACACACACACACACACTCTGAACTCTTCAAAAAGTTCAAGGAAAGATTCCTATTACCTTTCAATTCTATTTTTCTGTGAACTTTTTGAAGTATCATACACACACACACACACACACACACACACACACACACACATATGATGATGCGCCTGCATTCTGACTAGCACACCTCCTCAGAAGGAAGATAGAGAGTGTCCCCCGGATCCTCTATATTTGGTGCAGCCTCTGCAGTAAACTCGTGTCTGGATTCTGCACAGATGGAGGGAATCTGTGCTTCCTGCTGCTCTTTCCCTCCTGGGGCCATCACTAAGTATCAAGGGTGCAACCCCAGGCAGAAGGAGAAGACACACTGTCTGCCTGCAGAGGGGCCCACCTTGTCTCAAGAGAATGGATTTTCTCTACTCATGCCTGAGTAGTTCCAGCCTGGGGGCAGCTACAGAGGATACTGTGGGCAGCAGTGTGGCCTCAGGACTTGTCCCTGAGGCTGATGCACACATCCTGTCATATCCTGTATGGCCCGAATGACCTCCAGTTCCTCCCATGGAAAAGGTCTGCACACCAGAGACCTTCCAGCCTCGGCAGAACCTGGGGAGCATAGGTGAGCTCTGACTCTCCATCAGGACATGGCTCCCACCAGTGGCACCTTCTGCACACCTGTTTCTGGGCAAAGGGCATCCTGTGCATGTTCTACCTTATAATGTTCACACTCTTATCAGTCCTGACTTTCACAAATGACAGCAGGTTAACATCATAGGTCAAAGTCTGGAGGAGAGGGAGTCATAAACTTCTTCTGGAAGGGGAAGTGAGTGGACATCTTTTATCAGGTTGGGCAACAGGGCGCATTGGTACATCTTAGAGAGGAAGAGCAAGAAAAGAGGAAGGTGCCCTATAAAGGGGAGTGGATGGAAGACTGGCCACAGCTCCATTATGACCCAGCTGTGCTCATGTATGTGTGTGGTCATAGCTAATTTCTGAGGGAACACGGCAGCCCAAGGTGGGCAGATACAAGGAAATGGGCTGGGCAGGGGGCGTATCCAGGAAACTGCCCCATAGAAGGCCTCAAGTCCAACAGTGGAGAATGTGGGAACACCAGGGCTCCCTGCTCTGTCCAGCCCACCCCATGAGTTCTCAGAGGTGCACTAATGTAGGGAAGAAAAGAAGTAAATGGATCCAGAGCGGGCTGGGGAGGGGACAGCTGGTGAGAAGACTTGGGATGTTACCGCAGAGGTCAGAGTGAGCCACCTCCCTTCCTTCTCTGCTGCCCGGACCCCAGACCACCCCCTGACTCCCAGACTCCTGAGTCCCAGTTCTGGTCCTATGGGAAGTCCATGCACCCTGACACCCCACACTCACCAAACCCAGGTGACCCCAAAACCAGTTCCGTTTTGGGGGCTGAGGGAAACATTGGAGGCGGCGAGAGTTGTCATAGAAGGTGTAGGTCCAGGACAGGACACGAGCCAGGAGCCAGGTGGCTCCAACCAGCAGCAGAAGCAGCCATGGGGAGGCTGACACTGGCCCCAGGCCCAGCCAGGACAGGCTCAGCTGTGGCATCCTGCAGGCAGATGGGACAGAGGTGAGGACCTGAGGCCAAGGCAGCGCCACAGGAGCACCAGGGACAGTGGAGAGTGGCGGGGAAGTTGGGTGCTGGGGGCAGGGCAGGGAGGGCTCTGAGATAGTTCAAGAAGGACTGAGAACAGGGAGGGAGACCCAGGGAGATCCAGGGGAGAAGGCAGAGTGAGCTGGGAGAGGAGGAGAGAGAGAGAGAGAGGGGCAGGGAGAGGCTGATTAGAGTTCAGAAAGGCCCAGCCTGAATCACTGGGAGGTTGCCAGAAGCTTAGTTATCCACAAATCACCAGTCTCCTGGGCTCACTCACTCCCTGTGACCATCCCAGCTTAGGGCAGTGCTCCTTCCCCATCCTGAGCCAGGACTCCCCAGTCCCACTTCCCCCAGCCTGGCACCTGTCAGGACCAGCTTCTTACACAACCTCCTCTCTCTATCCTGGGAGGCTCGCCTCTGTCCTCTAATCTAGGGAAGGCTGCGGGAGGTTGGGGTGGGCTGGCTGGGCTGGGCCAGCCAATACCCAAAGGCCTGGCTGCCTGATCCCTGCCTGGGCAGTCAGCCAAAGCATGGGGCGGGACCAGCTGGGTGCAGAGGAGCAAACTCAGGGTGACACAGCTTGAGCACTGAACTGTCAGGACTTAGCACCTCCCCTGTGGGGCAGGGAGAAAGTTGGTCAAAGGTGAATCTAAGCCCCAAAGATTACAACGGCCCCTGCCCTCCAAGGGCAGGGTACAGCAGGTAAAACCAAGAACTTGAAAGTTCAGATGTCAGGTGGGCAGGGCCAGGCCATGACTCGTCCCAGAACATCTCCTGAGCTCGTCTCCGTGCATGTGCCGGGAGGATGTCGTGCACCATTTCTCGGTGCAGAATTAGGAGGCTGGGAGAAGGAAGCCACTGACTCCAGACGCACAGACTGGCAAGAGTTCAAGTTCTGCCTTAGGGCAGTGCAGGGCCCTGTTGGAAACATTTTTGCCAGGAGTAGGGACAATAACCCAGCCTCTCAAATGATTGCTCAGTTCAGATTCTGGGAATACAAAGGCCAGTTGGAAGAGCAAACCTGGAGGATGGGTTCAGCATCAGAGTTTACAGGACAGAGGGGAGGCGTGGGGGGTAAGTGGGAGAGGGGCTATGAGCAGACAGGGCCCAGGCAGGAGAGGGAAGAGCCAGGTGACCCTGAGTGGAGACCTCCTTTTGCCCCATCCGTGCTGTGACTATGGGCAGTGCCAGCCCTCCTGGGCTCAGGCTTCCCATGTGGGTTATGGGATGTTGGATGAGGGCCTTAGGGGAACATAGGAGGGAGCCCCCAAAATGGGGAGTGAAAGGACAGGGCTGGCCACTCGTACTTGCACTGCTGTGTGCGAGGACTCTACTTTGTGCAAAAGACTATGTCAAGTACTTCAACTATGTGTTGGGTACTCTGTATAAAGCACACCTGCTGTGTGCAGGGCAACTGTATAAAGCATATCTACTCTGTCCCAGGTACTCTCCATCAAGTGCCAGATACTCTATATAAATCCTGTCTACTGTGTGCCTAGTGCTCTACATAACATAAACTTTTGCGGAGTACCTCACATAAAGCATACCTACCTTGTGCCAGACGCTGTATAGAATGCATGCCTACTGTTTGTCTGATGTTCTACACCAGACAAATAGAGTACAGCATGTCTACTCTGTGCTTGCTGACCCATGTAAACTGGACCTACTTCATGCCAAGTACTCTACACAAATACTGTCTGCTGTAGTGCTGGGTGTTCTACATAAAGAGTGCCTACTCTGTGCCAGGTACTCCACATAAAGTGCACCTGCTTTGTGTCAGATGCTCTCCTCCCACATAATGCACATGACTTCCCTCTACCCTCCCCTCAACTCTTTGGTTCAGAGCCCCATGTGACAGCACACAAAAGAAGGAAGATGCCCATTTAACAGAAGGGCAAACTGAGGCTCAGAGAGGGCAAACTTCTAGCCCACGTTGCAGTGCTCAAGGGAACTTTCCTTCTATACCTAAGTTATTGAGAGTCTTTATCATGAAGGGATGATGAATTTTGTCAAATGTTTTTTCAGCATCTATTGGGATAATCATATGGTTTTCGCACTTGAGTTTATTGATGTCATGTATCACAAGCAAAAACCTGCACATGGATGTTTGCAGCAGCATTATTCACAATTTTCAAAACTTGAGAGCAACCATGAAGCCCTGCAATAGAGAAATGGATACATAAACTGCCACATCCAGAAAATGGAATATCATGCAGCACTTTTTAAAAATGAGCTATAAAGACAGGGCAGAAATTTAAATGCATATTACTAAGTTAAAAAATTGAATCTGAAAAAACTACATACTGTATGATTCCAACTCTGTGACTTTGTGGAAAAGACAAAACATGAGACAGTTAAAAGATCAGTGGTTGCCAGGGGTTGGGGAAGGAAAGATAAACAGGCAGAGAACAGGAGGGTTTTAGGGCAGTGAGACTATTCTGTATGAAACCATAATAGTGAAAACCTTTCAAAATATATTTGCCAAAATCCATAGAATGTATAACAATAAGGATGAATTCTGATGTAAGCAAGATGTTAGATGACAATGTGAAAAGAGGATGAAGTAATTAAGGCTGAGGCTTAAAGTGGAGTTGGGAGATTGTGAGAGGATTGTACTCACACCTGCTGAAGGTCCAGGCACAGGATGTTTCATATACTTGGAAAATGACTGAAGACAGTATCCACCCATCTTCAACATCTCTCAGCTGGAAGCACGTTAATTGACTAACCAGTCAGAATGGTTTGCAATGTTGGACTGCCCCCAAGAACAACATTTTGTGGAAATCCCCAATGAAAAATCTTTCCTGGGGCTAGCTGGTTAGCTCAGTTGGTTAGGCTGACTGCAGTGTTACAAAATCAAGGTCAAGGGTTTGGATCCCTGACTGACCAGCTGCCAACACCCCCACACCCCCCCCAAAAAAAAACCTTTCTGTGTTTGCCTTAGGGAGCACTATTCAATGTATCCAAACAGCAGTTCTTTGTTTCCCGTGTAAATACTATTTATTTTGATCCCTATTTTAATCAGTTTTGGTTTTTTGTTTGTTTTAGTTAACAGCTCAGGTAGGCTCATCCATTGTAAGAGATGTACTACTTTTGGTGAGGATGTTGCCCTGAGGGTAGGTGGACACCAGCTGAGTCAGGTCCCTCATGCCCTGCTCTGTGGGGGTGACCTACAAGCAAGACAAGGTGGTCACTTTCTGTGATGGTTCATTGTAGGTGACAACTTGACTAGACTATGGGATGCCCAGATGACTTTAAAACATTATTTCTGCCTGTGTCTGTGGGGATGTTTGCAGCAGAGGGTAGCATTTGAATCCGCAGACTGGGTCAGGAAGATCCACCTTGTTCAATGGAATTGGGCATCATCCAATTCCTTGAGGGCCCAGGTAGAAAAAAAGGCAGAGAAAGAGAGAATTTTCTCTCTTTTCTGGAGCTGGGACATCCATCTTCTCCTACACTCAGGCGTCGGAACTCAAGGTACTGGAGCATTTGAACTCCAGGACTTATATCAGCAGCCCCAGGTTCTCAGTCTTTCTGACTCAGAATGAGACACATCACCGTCTTCCCGGGTTGTCAGCATGGCATGGGACTTCTTGGCCTCCATAATCACGTGAACCAATTCTCGTAAAAATTCCCCCCTCCCCTCCTCCCTCTCTCCCCCTCTGTGTGTGTGTGTGTGTATGTGTGTTCAAAGCTAATTTCTGAGGGAACGTGGCAGACCAGAGATGGACAAACACAAGGAAATGGGCCAGGCAGGTGGCATACCCTGGACACTGCCCCTCAGGAGGCCTCAAGTCCAGCAGTGGAGAATGTGGGAACACCAGGGGGTCCCTGCTCTGTGCAGCAGGCCCGTGAGCCCTCAGAGGTGCACTAATGTGGTGAAAACAGGAAGCAAATGGATCCAGAGCAGGCAGGAGAGGGGGACCAGGGGTAAGAAGACTTGGGATGGCACCGCAGAGGTCAGAGTGAGCCACCTCCCTCCCTTCTCTGCTGCCCGGACCCCATCCCACCTCCTGACTCCCAGACTCCTGAGC